TATTGCAGAGTTTTTTTTTTTTTTTGAGATAGGGTCTTGCTCTATTGCCCAGGCTGGGCTCAAATGTGCAATCCTGTTGCCTCAGCTTCAGAGTGCTGGTGTTACACAGACGAGCATCACCCCACCCCCCAGTCCCCAGTGTTTAAAACAGATGCCTAAATAAAATGGTTAAAGGAAAGAAATCAATGTGTGGGACTTCAGGGAATGACATTCCAAGCAGCACGTGTTTAGCTTTCACAGAGTAGTTCCTAAAATTTTGCTGAAAGTTATCTGCAAAAACATAGTACTGTATCTGATCCCAAAATAGGCAACAGTTGAAAACTTCTAGCCCGTCCATGTGTGGGAACTTAAAGCCCTGCTTTCTACTAAGATCCAAGAGATATTCTCCCAGTCTTTTCCCCTAATCTTTATTTCTGCCCATGGAGCAGTTACCAAATTATTTCTCAGACACTTCCTATTCTCATATAGACCCAGGTCCTCATCTCTGCCAGCAATTCCATTTAACACCCATGAAAAATCCCAGCTACTGAATTAACACAGCAGACATTCAAATTACTGAATTAAAGAAGCGAGCAGCACTCCACTGTTTCTTGGAATACACCTGTCTTAAGCACCCTGTCTACATCTTGAACACAGGAAGGAAGAAATACAATGTAACAGTAAACTTCCTGGGGTTCCGGAAAATACTGAGGATTGAATGAACCCAGGGCCTTCATACAGAGCTACACCAGCACCCCTATTTTTTGAGATAGGGTCTCACTAAACTGTTCTCCTCCTGCCTCAACCTCCCAAAGGGCAGGAATTATGGACGTGTACCACAGTGCCTGATGGAAGTTTCTGTTATTAAACAGAATATAACCATTCCGACACGCCCTCGAGTCTTGAAAACTGTAGTTTTCCTTTACGATGTGCACACAACCTAGGAATTGCTACAGACGGGGACTGAAAAGCCAAAGCCAGTTTGTCTATGAATCGCCTACTTTGGGATTAGGCACACTCAACTACTTTGGCAATTTTCCAAACTTGGGGGATTTGTTCCTTAAGATTCTAAGGTCTATGTAAACCTGTGTGGCGAGGAGAGCTTGGGATCTCAAGATCTTAAACATACCCTCTGCGGCTGCTCAAGGCAAGGCAATGAAAGTTGGAGAGACTTTGCAACAGCTGCAGGAGTTTCTCCACTCCCGGCGCGGAGAGCGGCAGCGTGAACAAGGCTGCCCCGCCGGGGAGCGTCCGGCAGCCCATCCAGCACCCCCGACTTCTCCAAGTACCTCCGGAACTGCTCGCGCTTCGAGTCGGCGGCCTGAGGAGACACCGCGGGTCAGAGACCGGAGCCCGGCGGCCAGAGCAGGAAGAAGGCGCTGGGAGTCCAGCAACCCCGCCTCCGCCTCGCAGCCTTAGGCCCCCAAAATCTGCGCGCGCTCCCCAACTCCCTCCCCAAGCCGACCAGCGGCTGGCTACCGCCCGTACTCCCCAGCCACGCCGCGCCCCTCTCACTTTGTAATGGGCCATAGTGACAGGGGCAACGGCGTAGCTGGCGCCGGAGACCGTGGCTGGCGGGCTCAGAGCAGCACTGCTCATGCGCAGAAAGGCTCACGCGCCTGCGCGCTTGCGAGCCACGGCAGGTCTAGCTAAGGGAGGCTGCGCACACCCGCCCCTCTAGCTGTCGGAATACTGTAGTACCTGTCCTTCCTTTTCCGGTCTCCGTGTTGACTCAGTTGCTAAGCGAGAAGCAAGGTTTTGGTAACGTAGCACAAGTGGCCAGGGTTGGCCGAGGTGGGCGTGGTGGCCAGGGGCTGGGCCCGGAAGACTAGTACTCTTGCTGGAGGGTGGATTGACCCAAGGAGTAGTGGCTGCACTTCTTAACTGGGACTTCAAAAGCTGTACCGACCTATATATATATATATATATATGCTGGGGTATTTGGCTCTCGTCCGGGAAAAAGCACGACAGATGCAGGGCGCCTCTTGGATTTACAATGGCTTGAGAAAGAGTCTTTCGAATCATTTATGTTCTGTTGCTTATTGGAAGTGAGCTGG